GGTAAGTTAGATGTGTGCTAAATTGGTTCTGTATTTTTCATGGGATACGAGAACGAGGTGAAATGTTACAATGGCAATGAGATTTTCAGTGATGTATAAACTAAGTGGGAGATCTTGACCTATGTGTCTATCTTTATCTATATCTATCTATCCATCCATCTAACTATCTCCCTTTTTTTTTAGGGACAAGGTCTTGCTCTGTCACCCAGAGGCTGGAGTGTAGTGGCGTGAACATAGCTCCCTGTAACCTCGAACTCCTGACCTCAGGTGATCCTCCTGCCTTGGCCTCCCAAGGTGCTGTGATTACAGACGTTAGTAGCCACTCAGGACCGGGAGATATATTCATAGTCTTCTACGGGCAAGACTTACCTGTATGTTCTATGTTACCTCAAGGAGTGAGCCTCAAAAGAAGTGTTCCTAGCATCTAAGGAATCTTAATTAATTTTCCTCTCGCCAATATCCTCTCTAATCAGCAAACATCAAAATAGTTCTTCACACTTTTTTTTTTTTTTTTTTTTTTACGGAGTCTCGCTCTGTCACCCAGGCTGGAGTACAGTGGCCGGATCTCAGCTCACTGCAAGCTCCGCCTCCCGGGTTTACACCATTCTCCTGCCTCAGCCTCCCGAGTAGCTGGGACTACAGGCACCCGCCACCTCGCCCGGCTAATTTTTTTTGTATTTTTTTAGTAGAGACGGGGTTTCACCGTGTTAGCCAGGATGGTCTCGATCTCCTGACCTCGTGATCCGCCCGTCTCGGCCTCCCAAAGTGCTGGGATTACAGGCTTGAGCCACCGCGCCCGGCCTTCTTCACACTTTTGATCAAGAACATTCCATCCTTTCCACTGCTGACAGTGGAACTGAGACAGTCTGGAGTTTAGTCATGGAGTGCCCTGAGGTCATGTTAATTAGTCTTCCTACACTAAAATACGTCCTAAGTGTATTAAATTTCCTATGGCTGCCAAAATAAATTACCACAAATTTAGTGTCTTAAAACACAAATTTGATAACTTACAGTTTTGTAGGTTAGAAGTCTAAAATGGGTCTCACTAAGCTAAAATCAAGGTGTCTGCAAGGCTGCACTTCTTTCTAGAGGCTCCAAGGGGGAATCTGTTTCCTTATCCTTTCTGGCTTCTACAGATCCACTGCATTTTATGGTTCATAGCACTTTCCCTTCATCTTCAGAGCA